CCTTAACATTTGTCCTCATATCTTGAGGCTGAGGCTGAACAGCAGAGATTCTGACACTGTACTGATTACTTTATGTAACTGTAGACCCAGCAGGTCTGAAATAATTGAACTGATACAGTTCTGCTAGTGTTTGTTGACATGTACAACCAGATATTACCTGGTGACATAATACTACAATCACTTCTTCTACTACTAAGCCTGGAGTAAGCACAGTGAAAGCTGTCACACCTTCAAGGCTTTAAGGCACATTTGAGAGATTTTTCAACATTTCATCACATTTGATCAAAACATTATTATCAATGCTGATAAAAGTCCCTTTAATTTTAACACTTGTGAGGAAGAGTGCTGAACACACACACACACACAGGACAACTAGAAGTGTTCTTTAAACTAGTTTCTGATAACCATTACCGAAGTGACGATCAGTCGTACGTCAGATACGAACTTTGCCAAAACTTAAGCAGTTATTTAGCTTAAGTTCCTCATCTTTATATACATGTTAAAGCCTGGCCCTAGCGACGTCGCCATAGCTCACTAGCATCAGAGCGTTTAACTAAAAGTTAGCTGGAGGCTAACCTAGCTCATTCGGCAAAATACACCAAGGAATAAGCGCATATGTCTCCGTTAATTAACTTACCGTTTCACGGAACTGTGTTGTGTGGAATTGGAATGACATCATTTCAGCGGTGCCAGTGTAAATGAAGTTGATGGTGAAGTTGAGCGCAGCAGCGTTTGGCGAACTGAGTCAAACTCGTAGCGTTAACTCAGATTAGCCGACTAGCTTGAAGCTGAGCGAGAGGAGAGAAAAAACTTCCACAACGATGTCGTCTCCTCTTCCGCGTCAAAGGCAGGGTAGGCAAAGGACTAGCTACCGGAATGTGCTGGAGAATCCATTTCGAATTGTGTTTACTCTTTAGTGGACTTAATAAAAGATCATCCCGGAGCAAAAGCAGTCAGTTTCTTTGTGCTTCCCCTTCTAGTCATTGAGTGGAGGCTACATTCTGGGCATTTTCCTGCATCACTTCCTCCAACAGCTGATCTTCATCTCTGCCGTGGCAACAATGTTGTATCTTTTAATGAAACACGTTCAAATACCGAATCACTGCTCAATTTATTAATTAGAACAAAAACATCACAGAAGCGGCTGTTTTCGTAATGACATTTTAGAGAGAGAGAAGATAAAATAAACAACGTAAAATAATTTGTACATCAATTTAAATGGGTCCAACTAGACTTATCGAAAGAGAAAGTAAAGCTGCGTGGAATTATTTTAATCAGGAAAAATACTTCATACTTGTAGTATTTATAAAAAGTTAAACCCGGTATTTTTATTAACGTTTGAATTTATTATTTAGCTTTTTACTACGTCATCAGAAAGCGACAAAAGTGTTCCTGCGCAGCCCTGACAGCCTGCTAGACAAGCAGACACCGTCGGTAGGTTTATATTTGTGGTGTTAACGCTCTCGACATTATGTAAAAATAAAATAAAATAGTATAAATGAATGTGAGGTTAATTTATAATTATAACATTATTCTTTGGTTAAGGGTTTTAGGATGAGGAAGTCATACTAATTTACTTCAGCTGTATCACAAGGGCATGGTATGATTAAAAAAATTGCCCCGTGAAATTAAATTATTATCTCCTACGCATTTTTTCCCACACCCTCCCTCCCCCGTTTAGTTTGTATTTATTGCCTTTTAAACATCCGGATTTGTGTAGTTTGGTCGTCGTTAACACATAAGAACAGGAGGTATTAACAAACCTATTCACATCGAAATAAATCACTGGGACTGTATGCTGTAATGATGTACGAAGCATTTTTAGTCATATGAAATCCTTAAAATCTTCTTAGGGTGATCAAAAAATATCTAACAAGGCACCTGTGGGTCTAGAAATCGCAGGATGTGACCATGATGTTTTGGAGGGTCAGGGTTGAAAGTCAGATAATGAAGTCTACAATGGTCTCATAACATTACTGAACAAGGACAACATGTAAAAAGGCCTTTTTTCTAAATCTTTGTCAGCCTTTTATCTGGCCTTCAGCTTAAGCTCAATTCTAACCGTGAACAAGACTCTGAACAAAGAAACTTCTTGTTAAAATCAAAAAAGCACATTTGGCTTCCTCTTAACTTCACATCAGTTTCACAGAGCACATGGTCACAAGATTATCCAGTTCTTAGAAATGAATACGACTACAATGACAATGGAAAAGTAACATCTAAATGTTAGGAGAAAAAGAGACAAAAATGACTCAAAAGGGTCATTAAGTCACACACATCCACATACGTATCAGTCCTGCTCCCTGAAGTAGCATTGTAAGAACAGATGTCTGATGTTTTGTGTTTTAAAAATATGCAACTGACTTTAAAGGTGTTGTGATCATTCAATCAGCAACCCCTACACTTGTTTGTCTTAACTTCCTCTTCATGCTGTTGTGCCCTCAGACTATTTAATCCCAGATGACGGCGTTGACGCGTAGGACCGTGCTGTCTCTGTACACACGGGTGCTTCGCATCGCCCGGACCTGGCAGGCAGAGAGCGGAGTCGCTGGCGACACAGAGGCTGAGAGGAAGTACATACTTCAGGAAGCTCGTGCTCTGTTTAGACGGAATCAACAGGTGCGAGTGACAATAAAGCAATCGCAACAGAAGTGCAGCGTTTAAATAAAAATAATGAATGACTAAACATTTCCTGTGTATACTTCCTGTTAGCTCATGGACCAAGAGTCAATAAAGAGGTGCATAGAAGAGTGTGAAGCGAGGATAGAAATAGGTAAGAGTGTCATTTTCATCAAGGGCCACATGGGCGATACTGTTCTCCATGCAGGGCCTGTTGTAACTACTCCATAACTCCATTTTAATAAATGTTTCTGCAATTGAATCATGAAAACCTGATGCTAGGTTTGTCCAACTAAAACCTGTCTAATCAGGGGACTTTTGGTTTTTGGATATTCTTGTGCTATGACGTAGCTCAGAAGTGCATGAAAAATAAACCCCACCTACATTTTCTGTCTTCATCACAGGTATACACTACAAGAATCCATATCCCAGGCCTGTAAGTTACCATGCCTTTAAACTATTCCACATTACATTCTGGGGTATTTATAATGTATTGACATATTTGTCTTAATGTACTTCTAGGTCCACTTGCCCCCACGTGGCTTAGCCACTCAGAAGGACAGGAAGCTGCGAGCGCAGCAGCGCCTGAGGAAGCAGGCCAAGCCAATTTACTTGCTGTCACATGACGAGACCTGAAGCTCCATTTCACCGTTCCTCTCCAGTTCATGTTTCCCAGGACGGGAAACAAGAGTGCAGTCACGGGCCGATCACGGGTTGGGCTTTGTTTCAAGCCGTCATTGAAACGTGAAAACCTGTCAGTTAGGAAAAAAACAGTTATTTGCCATAATTTTCTGTAAACTATGTAAATAAGATCTTTCTATGGCTGGGGAGTGTGGGTGTGATTGGAGATTGTGTGATATATATATTTTTTGAGTTTTCAAGTATTTTCTTGAGCATTTCCAAGTAAATGCTTGGGTTTTATTTGTCTTTGCATTGTAAACCATACATTTAACTCTTGCTGTGTGATCAAAAACCAAACAATTCAACTTGATAATTCTTGTTTCTCTAGCATGCATTCAGGCTGTGGTTTCAGAAAATGGGGGAGGAGTGCATCTGTTGGGCTCAGAAGTAAGAAAAATGACAGATATACCAAAGAAGGTGTTTGTGTGATAAGATCAGAAATTGATTCAATGCACACAGATAATAATGGTGTTGGTCTAATGTGACTGGTGTGAAGGTTTTCACTTTGCCTAGTGGCAAGAGAGAGAGAAGGGAAGTGTCTGCATGTTTCACAAGCTGATGTCAGCTGATACACCAGACTCAGTCTTTGGTGTCTGAACTGTGGTGTCTCTGAAAGTAAACAGTTCTTTTGTAACCCAGTAGCTTAGGTTTACACCAGCATGTCCTACATAGACTGTCGTTAGTCTGTTAGGCTCTCTGTCAGACCACAGTGAAAGACGAGAGCCTGCACTTTTAAAGGGGATGGCGATTGTTTGAGGCTCGTACTAAAAGGATCCTCAGGGCAGGCTGTGAAGTTATCTCCTAGATCTCAAAAGGTCACACAAGGAGACGGAGGATAGAAGAGGACATCACATGGCTTCACAGCTGCCTTGTCCTTCTTGTGCCCTTAGGGGTTGACGCGGCTTATCTTCTGTTTCATCTCATGTCTTAACTTTTTGTCATTCTCTCTTCAGTCATCCATCTGTCCTCATCACATGTCCAAACCCTCTCGACTTCAACTCACTGACTTGTTTTCCAAATTCTCAACCTTAGCTGATGTTGGTCATTTTAATCCTGTATTATTTTCTGCTGCACTGTCACACATTATCCACCAGGTGTCGCACCAGGATTTGACTTAACGCTAAAACCTTAGCTGACGTAGTTCAGTGAGTTCAGAGCCACGGCTGTAATCATCAGTGTGAGTGCGAACCACATGCCTTGCTCAGCATTTGAAGCACCTGTAGCGCAACCAAACAGACCACTTAAAACACAGGCGTGACGCAGATTTATTAATCAAAACCAAGAGAAAATCCAGAGAAGTTGTCTTTTCTTTAGACTCTGTGTCACAGACCACTGCAGCTTTCAATATTGGCCTAGCATACACAAAAAATATATAAATGCATGTATATATTCCACTTAGTTAAAGGGCAAGGTGGTTGCTGTTGTCTCTGGAGACCAAATTAAACTCTGTGATGAATGAGTGTCCTGGCTGTAATTGTTCACTGCTGTGAGAGCAGCAGCAGCAGCAGTCAACTGTCTTCACATTAATGCTGAGAAAAGACCCAGTTCATTTAAATCCATCTTGTGGACCCCTGAGTCATGTCTTTCATGGTCTGATTTACAAATGTGTCTCTGTGTTTACACTGAATGTGTGAACAGATACTTGACTTACCTCATCAGAATAAAAGCACAGCCAGGCTTTATTAACTATTTAGTGCAATTTAGTACAATACCAATCAGTAAGTATTAGTAAACTCTCTGCTCATTTATTTCTGTGGGAATTGTTTGGTGGTAATTGTTAGTTAATTGTGTGGTAATGGTTAATTATTTTGTGTAACTCACTTTAAGATTGACTCATTCTGACCATTCTCAGGCGACAGTCTTCAGTTTTCTGTGCTGTAATTGATCTAATGTTGAGAGGAACACATCGGCAGAGTGACCACAGTCTGAATAGATGTTTGTTTATTGATGGACTGGGAAAAATAATAAAATAATTTGTGTATTTTTGTCTATTATTAGACTGGCTCTCTTCCATGTCTGAACTATTTTTAACTTTTATTATTTGTTATTTGACTAAAGTGTGCGTTTGTACACTTACATTTGCTTTGCTTGTAATGATTAAACATACAATCTAATGTTGTCCTTAGAGGTGTTTTTCTTACATAGTACAGGCAGCAGTTGAATGAAATTATTGTTAACATCTTAAACACTATGTTCCTAAGTAGAGGCTCTGACAGAGGTGTCAGTGAAGATTTGTTAGTCACAGGAGTGTAAATGAGACATTTCTGTTCACGTCTTACACTACAGATGAAAAGCCACTGCGGAGGAAGCTGTCAGCAGAGATGTTCACCTTCTCCTATGGAATGATGCTGTATGACAGCATGGATTCTCTCAGTCTGGGTGATGCCGAGGATGTTAGGGCGTCAGGTGGAAGCCTGCTGTGATTTCCATTATAACTAGTTACAAGCCAGAAGTCGGCTCAGCACTCAACTCTCCAACTGGTGACTCATTGATTCTGAGAAAAAGTCTTTCCAAATAAGAGTTACAGCACAGCCGTATGACCCATTTTCAGCATGATGACATACACACTAAAAAGTGGATC